CTTTGCAGGGTTTAGCGTTGCAGGGTGCAAGCTTGAAGGATTTGGGGTGCAGCTTTGCAGGATTTGGGGTGCAGCTTTGCAGGATTTGGGGTGCAGCTTTGCAATATTTCGGGTGCAGATTTGCAATATATGATATTAGGGAGCAACTTTGCAATATTGGGGTGCAGCTTTGCAACATTCACCACCTCAGGGTGTAACTTGGGGTCCAACTGTAGGATTTGGGGTCCAACTTTGCAGTATTTGGGGCGTAACTTTAGTATTTGAGGTCCAACTGTAGTATTTGGGGTGCAACTTTGTAGTATTTGGGGCGCAACTTTAGTCTTTGGGGTCCAAATGTAGTATTTGGGGCGCAACTTTGCAGTATTCAGGGTCCAACTTTCGTATTTGGGGTGCAAATTTGTAGTATTTCAGGCGAAATTTAGTATTTGGGGTGCAGCTTTGCAGGATTTGGGGCACAACTTTAGATTTTGGGGTCCAACTTTGTAGTATTTGGGGCGTAATTTAATATTTGGGGCACAACTTTGGGATTTGGGGCTCAACTTTGCAGGATTTGGGGTGCAACTTTGCAGTATTTGGGGCATAACTTTAGTATTTGAGATCCAACTGTAGTATTTGGGGTGCAACTTTGCAGGATTTGGGGCACAACTTTAGTATTTGGGGTGCAACTGTGTAGTATTTGGGGCGGAATTTAATATTTGGGGCGCAACTTTGGTATTTGGGGCTCAACTTTGCAGCATTTGGGTCACAATTTTAATATCTGGGGCTCAACTTTGTAGTATTTGGGGTCCAACTTTGTAGTATTTGGGGCACAACTTTAGTATTTGAGGTCCAACTGTAGTATTTGAGGTGCAACTTTGGAGCATTGGGGCGCAACTTTAGTTTTTGGGGTCCAACTTTGTAGTATTTTGGGGCATAACTTTAGTATTTGGGGTCCAAATGTAGTATTTGGGGCACAACTTCAGTATTTGGGGTCCAACTTTAGTATTTGGGGTGCAAATTTGTAGTATTTCAGGCAAAATTTAGTATTTGGGGTGCAGCTTTGCAGGATTTGGGGCACAACTTTAGTATTTGGGGTGCAACTCTAGTATTTGGGATGCAACTTTAGTTTTTGGGGTCCAATTTTGTAGTATTTGGGGCACAACTTTAGGTTTTGGGGTCCAACTTTGTAGTATTAGAGGCACAACTTTAGTATTTGGGGTGCAACTTTGTAGTATTTGGGACGTAATTTAATATTTGGGGCACAACTTTGGGATTTGGGGCTCAACTTTGCAGGATTTGGGGTGCAACTTTGCAGTATTTGGGGCATAACTTTAGTATTTGAGATCCAACTGTAGTATTTGGGGTGCAACTTTGCAGGATTTGGGGCACAACTTTAGTATTTGGAGTGCAGCTTTGTAGTATTTGGGGTGCAATTTAATATTTGGGGCACAATTTTAGTATCTGGGGCACAACCTTGTAGTATTTGGGGTGTAACTTCAGTATTTGGGGCGCAGCTTTGCCGTGTGGAGCGGAGCCGCGGGAGCAGCTGCGCGGTATTTTTCATACCGGGGAGCGGCGCTGCACCCGTGGTGTTGCGGCTTCGGGGAATTTCTCTTCTTTGGGGCGCAGCGCTGTGATTTTTCTGATATCGGGGAGCGGCTTTGGGGCGTTTTGCTTCTTTGGGGCGCAGCGTTGTGATTTTTCTAATCTTGGGGAGCAGCTTCGGTGCGTTTCTGTTCTTTGGGGTGCAGAGTTGTGATTTTTCTAATCTTGGGGAGCGGCTTTGGGGAATTTCTCTTCTTTGGGGCACAGCGTTACGATTTTTATGATATCGGGGAGCGGCTTCGGGGTGTTTCTGTTCTTTGGGGCGCAGCGTTGTGATTTTTATGATATTGAGCAGCGGCTTTGGGGAATTTCTCTTCTTTGGGGCACAGCGTTACGATTTTTATGATATCGGGGAGCGGCTTCGGGGCGTTTCTATTCTTTGGGGCGCAGCTTTGTGATTTTTATACTATCAGAGAGCGGCTTCGGGGTGTTTCTGTTCTTTGGGGCGCAGCGTTGTGATTTTTATGATATTGAGCAGCGGCTTTGGGGAATTTCTCTTCTTTGGGGCACAGCGTTACGATTTTTATGATATCGGGGAGCGGCTTCGGGGTGTTTCTGTTCTTTGGGGCGCAGCGTTGTGATTTTTATGATATTGAGCAGCGGCTTTGGGGAATTTCTCTTCTTTGGGGCGCAGTGTTGTGATTTTTCTAATCTTGGGGAGCGGCTTTGGGGCATTTCGCTTCTTTGGGGCGCAGCTTTGTGATTTTCCTGATAGCGAGCAGCGGCTTCGGGGAATTTCTCTTCTTTGGGGCTCAGCGTTGTGATTTTTATGACATTGAGCAGCGCCTTCAGGGAATTTCTTGTCTTTGGGGCGCAGCGTTGTGATTTTTCTAATCTTGGGGAGCGGCTTTGGGGTGTTTCTCTTCTTTGGGGCACAGCGCTGCGATTTTTCTAATCTCAGGGAGCAGCTTCAGGGAATTTCTCTGCTTTGGGGCACAGTGTTGTGATTTTTATGATATTGGGGAGCAGCTTCGGGGCGTTTCTCTTCTTTGGGGCACAGCGTTGTGATTTTTATGACATTGAGCAGCGCCTTCAGGGAATTTCTCGTATTTGGGGTGCAGCGCTGCGATTTTTCTAATCTTGGGGAGCAGCTTCAGGGAATTTCTCTTCTTTGGGGCACAGTGTTGTGATTTTTATGATATTGGGGAGCAGCTTCGGGGCGTTTCTCTTCTTTGGGGCACAGCGTTGTGATTTTTATGACATTGAGCAGCGCCTTCAGGGAATTTCTCTTCTTTGGGGTGCAGTGCTGCGATTTTTCGAATCTCAGGGAGCGGCTTTGGGGAATTTCTCTTCTTTGGGGCACAGCGTTACGATTTTTATGATATCGGGGAGCGGCTTCGGGGCGTTTCTATTCTTTGGGGCGCAGCTTTGTGATTTTTATACTATCAGAGAGCGGCTTCGGGGTGTTTCTGTTCTTTGGGGCTCCGTGTTGTGATTTTTATGATATCGGGGAGCAGCTTCGGGGCGTTTCTCTTCTTTGGGGCGCAGCATTGCGAATTTTATGATATCGGGGAGCGGCTTCAGGGAATTTCTC